GAAAAATATAAGCTTTCTTATAAGTAAGCCTTACCAAGCGATGGTAGATTCAGGGTCGGGCGTAATACCAATGTCATCGCGCGCTTGTTTACGATGACGATGACACGACACACTTCAGTTGTTATCTGTCGGTCGATGCATAGAGTACTAATAAATAATAAATAATGTTGAGCGTAAAGAGTAGAAAACGACCGTACGCTGATAAAGTGAATAAATTTATCGGTGAATTTCCGGATTTAATCTATAGATGTAAAATAATTTGTAAAGTTTGTGATCAAGACTTAATGTGCTGGAATAAATACGGCTGCAAAATTCATGTCAATAGTAACCGGCATAAAAATAAAAAAAATTGCGTGTCTTCTTTGGAACCTCAGTTTATGTTTGATTTACTGTTAATGCTGATTGCCCGTGATGTTCCCCTGTGCATATTGGATAAACTAGCATTTCGGGAGTTCTGGAATAAATACAATTTCCAGTTGAATTTACCAAGTCGTTCATCGTTACGTAGATATTTACCAAGTGTTCGTGAAAACATTGTAAATAGGATTAAATGTGCATTAAAAAATACACGGCTGTGGTTATGTGTTGATGAGACGACAGATTGTAAAAAAAATTCTATTTTAAATGTTATAGTACGTGTACTCGACCCTGTTAAACCAACATTTCCACTTTTACTAGCTAGCAAAAGACTAACTGCGTGTACTGGCGAAACAATTACGCGGGTGATGTTGGAGACTTTCGAAAAATTTGAACTGTCAACAAGTCAAGTGTTGATGTTTGTGACCGACGGTGCTGCGACAATGCGTTTGGTGGGCCGTTTTCTTCAAAGAGACGATTGTAGGTTTTTACATGTTACGTGTAAAGTGCATGCGTTCCATCTTGTAGCAGAAACGATTCAAAAATGTTTTCCAGAGGTAGATGCATTAATAGCAAATACAAAAAAAGTATTTCTCAAATCTTCTAAACGGCTTCGAGCATTTCACACACTGTGTCCTGGTATTCCGGAACCACCAGAGCCGATTCTTACACGTTGGGTAACGTGGTTGAAGGTAGCTTTTTATTATGCTGAATATTTTCAACAAATAAAAGCTGTGATACTACAGTTCAACCCTAACGAGGCTGCAGCTATTAAGGAAAGCCAGACAAGCTTTCAAGATGTTTCCCTTGAAACAGATTTAAAAACTATTTATAACAATTATAGAGGCCTACACGACGAAATAGAAAAATTGCAAAATACTTAGTTGTCGTTAGTGGAATCGCTGCAAATAGTGAACGACGTAAATACACAGCTACAGACTATAAATGACGCAAGAAATAAGCCCGTTATTGAAAAATTCGAGAGTGTATTACGGAAAGATCCTGATTTTACCAAATTAAGACAAAGTGATGGTGCATCTACAGCTGCGTTAAGTGAGTTCACAGAGTGCTTTACTTATGCCTGTATTACTTCTGTAGATGTCGAACGGTCTTTTTCAAAATACAAACATATTTTTTCACCACAGCGAACATCGCTTACTGAGACAACTGTAGAAACATATCTGATGCTACACAGTTATTATAGAAGTGCTCCAGTTTGTGATAACGACAACCAAGCTACTTCATAAATCTGCTTAAGAAGGTGAGTTTTGTACATATTTTTATAACGTGTACCAGTATTAATAAAATTTATTTCCATTTATTTTATTTATTTATTATTAGTTATCACTTAGATATACAATGTACATGTGTGAACGTCATTTAATAGTTTAATAATAATGTGCAGCACTAAGCTTACAAAATATAAGGAAATACATAAAAATAGAATTTAAAGCGAACAAAATAGTACAAAAACATACATCACAATATATAAAATATTTTTGTTTCTATTATTGTACTTATTCAAGTATTATGATATGATGCATACCCAGTACGTCTCTGTAGTATTAATGACCTTGGCCAGGCTTACTTATAAGCCCATAACCGACTACGGTTTCCATTTAAAAAAATGCAAGTTTATGTTATATCTTGGTTATAACTTATGAAGGTTTATGAAAATATATTAATACGAAAGTTTTCTCATTTTGAACTTTTTTTTAAATTGTTTCGTCATATCTAGGTATATTCTGTCACGTAAATTTCATAAAAAAAATGTAATTTTTGTAAATTTATTTGTATCATTGATAAAGGTTTACATAATAAACTGAAACGTTGGCTATTTGGAGTTATTTCATTTCTTTTTTATATCTTAGACTGACAACCATGCCATGAATATCAAATTGTAAAACACAATCAATATTCTAGTTACAAAATTTTTTTACTTTTAAAATATTCATACATATATAAATTAATTAGCTCTATTTAAATCTCAATTACTGACATTAAAATACTTAAAGTTAATAGAGTCTGCAGAATACAACCAAACAATGCATGTTGATGTAGCCCAATTGAGAATATCAGATACCAAGCAGAGGTCTACATCACCGGTAAACCATTGTGTCCATTTAAATGTAAATGCGGACTATCACAGTCATTCATCTTCCCCTTTCGCGTTGATTAAATATAGTGTAAAACCCCCATATAGAGGGTTGATCCACCCTAAACAAGGCTCCCTTATTGAGTGTAAAACACTCAGTATTTAAATCATCAAACGGATACGGATATTACTATTAAGATAATTGGGAGGCCCCCTTAAATATTTGAGGAAACCCATGAAATCCTTAGAGGCAGAGATATATATTAGACGCAATTATAATGAACATCACATGAATTATTCATTAATTTGTAATTTACAGGGTTGATAAAATACACGTTTTTTAAAGAAAAACAAAACATCCTGGTTTTTTATTTAAAACTTTATAAAACCTGTTCAAAATACCTTGCCAAAAAAAATATGTTTTAAACAGTTTAAAAATGTTGAGTGAAGACATGTATAGAGACACAAAATATGCATATAAAGACGTTCCATATTGCTCCTTCATTCATCTTAATTCCCGCACATCACTATCCACATATTTGTTGACCATTTAGTGCTGCTAACATTGTCATTTATCAGAGTCATAGGTCGTTCTTTTAGTAATTTTGATGTTCTGTGGTTTGATCAGTGCGATACTTTTTTTGCTTCCGAAACTACGCTCTTTTTTTAATGGCTTTCAGTCAAGGACCATGCAGCCAGGTCCTAAGGGTATTTGTAATAATATGTTTCCTAATTATTACCATTTTAACTAAAAATAACGATTTTATTTTAATTACATTACAAATATTCTTGTTTACAGAAATTAAAAAATATATATAAATTAATAAAATTTTAATAAACTCAAAACCATTAAAAAACAATGGGTATTGTACATTTTGGAGAAGATACGGAAAAGCTCATTTTAAAATATAAATTTTAGTAAATGGCATACCTACATTACCTAATTTATATAAATAAATGAAATAAAAATATTTTAAAAGACTTTTTATTATCAGATTAAACAGGAAAAGAACATGCATGTTAAATTAATTATATTGTTATTATATTATAGCGGTATCCAAAAACTAATTTTTCTACGACCCTGTAGAAAGTCTGAATTTAACATGCACAGCAGTATAGAAAATGACGTGGAAAAAGTTACTTTCTGCATTAGTGTGTGTAGTGTTATTTTCATTTGAATTGAATATAAAGTAAAACAAATGTTTATAAAACACTTATTTAAAACATTTTATTTTAAACATAACAACCCTGATAATTCATTTGAGGCTGATGATATTTAATGAAAAAGAACAGAAGATATAAAATAATTGTTAAAGTTACATTAATAGAAGGGGATGAGGTATGGACATCTGTTTAATTTCCGATATTCGATCAGTGAAGTTAAGCAGCACTGATCGAGTCCGGCAATTGGATGGATGAACGATAGCTCGTCTAACAGTCGGTAGGCTGTCAACAGACAATCCCGGGAAGGCCGCTAGCCTGATGCAGGCGGAGAGGCGAGCCCGGGTGGAGGGTCTAAGAGACCTACCCAGGAGGTTTGCCACTCTGCTAGCGGTGCAGGCGGGCAGGCCCAGGAGGTGGGTTAGTTGACAGTCGAGGACCGTGGTTCGGAGTCCACGCTAAACTGTAGGTCCCTAGGTAAAAAGGGCCCATTGTGGCCTACTTGCCTAGTAAAATAAGTAGCTACTACTACTACTACATTAATAGAAACATGATTAAACTTCTAATTTTCATATTTTACATTAATGCCCTTCTCAATCAAATATGATGTTAAAAAATTAAAAATGAAAATTATTAAAGTTAGGAATAGTGTAATAATGCTAATGTCCGCCATTTACTTGATGACAATCAAAGTTACAAATATAAACTTATACATATTTAGATATGTTTTATTTGATTTTTATGGAATTTTTATTTTTACACAACAATTGTTTCTCCACACAGTGGATTTGCCAGTATAATATTTGTACTTTAAGTATGTGAAAAGAATTTCTATATGAAGTAGTATAAAAGAGGCATCGATCAGATTTTTAAAAAGAAATTTTTTTTCTTTCAATTTATGTATACCTACATAATATAACAGCTAGTACAAACATAGCTATACCGCTCATCACTCCTACTTAGCCAAACTAAACTCAACTCAACCAATGGGTGTCTTGCTGTTTCAGATCCCAACTGATTTATTGTCTTTCAACCAAGAAAAGCCTAAGTTAGTGAATAACTCAAAAACAAATGATTATAGAAATTTTTTGATAACGTCAAAGAAATTACCTTAAAAAGTGTCCTAATATTAATATGGGTATATGTTATTTGAAACGTCTTATTTATGTTAACGTCCTAGCGGAGTTTAGCACATTGCTATTCCACCACTCAGCCAGGATAGACACATACATACAACATCCATTCCCTCTGACATTTGCCAGATGCCACAGCCGAGACTGGAACTCAGGAAAGATAAACAGATAAACAGCCGTGTTCTGTTACACAACAATGCTCTAACCGACTTTGCTACCGTCTCGGTATTTTAAAAACTGCTACTATGCCTCCATGCCCTAGCCAGGATTCGAACCCGGGACCCCTTGGTCTCAAGCCTAAACGTGTAATCACTGAGCTACTAAGCCGACTTATGTCACCAATCGTTAAATAATTATAAAGATACGGAAAGTTTTTTAAAACGTGCCATTTCAGTTTATAGATAGGTCAAATTTAAAAACGCAGGTCATATAATTCTCCAATAATTTCCAATTTTTATACAGACTGTATACATGAAAGTATATAAAATAATATATGACAGACTCTGGATGATAGTTTTCAATAGATGCAACGCAGTGACGAACAGTGTAACCTACAGAATTTTACTCACCTCGAATTTCGACAAATGCAGGCTTAACCAAAATATTGACAAACGTAATAAAATTCAGAACGATAATACCTACGCTTTGTACATAATAATAACAATATTTGAATAAACTCGAATGTTGACGAATAAATTACAAATATAATAACAAACATAGAATACTGGCGAACAGTATATAATAAAAATCAAGAATGCCAAATGCCTATATATAATAAATGTTAAATACTAACAATTAGTGTATAATAATACAGAACGTATAAAGTATAACCTAAATTGCAGCACCTTCGCATTATCTAACTACATCATTTTAAATGATATTCGATAATTAAAGTAATAACATACCTCAAATAATACAATTTGTCTAACTTAATAATAAACTCAAGTACACTGTCCAGAACTCATAATATACTTACTTAATAGAAAACCGCATATTCGAAGACTTACTGAATTAAATATCATTTACAACATTATATTATTATTATTTACCATTAACTACCGCACATCTATCACTAGTCGCCCGATAGTTACGATCTCGATTACAACATAAGCTTATAATAATCGCCACAATAACGACTTCTGTTATTCCTGTGAATAAATGTAAAATAATTTCGTATTTGAAGTTTAGTTACCTAACAAATCCATAAACACACAAAAATAACACTCTGCCTTATTAAGAGCCATTTACAGGGCACAGTGGTCCTTTACAAAAATCATATCTGACATATTAGTTATATACATTAGAACTTCCAAATTTAGATTGATCTTAGATATAATGCTACTTGAAGGCGTGAGCATGCAAAATTTAAACTAGGTGTATAATTGATGGTTACTTGGATATAATAAAATTTAGAAAAATTCCTCAACTTTGATGTTTAATGTTGTGTCTCTTAAGAATAATCATATGCTCACGCTATAAAACAACTCTTTAAACATAAACTATAAAAGTTATACGTAAAAATGTTAATAAGTCTCCTGTTAAAACTTTCCAAAAAAACCTTATAATCAGAAATATTTGCACTGGAAGGTGCCGTGCTCTACAGGAAATTGACGAAAACTTTATAAATGTCTTTTACTACAAGTCCATTGTCCAGCATGTAATTATAACACATATTCTGGTTTGTTTCGCCTAAATTTGGAACTTGATTTAAATATGTTAAGGAACTCTTAAGAGCAATGTCTGATGACAATATGAAATATGTTCTTTTCAATATTTGATAAATCCCTTACAAAATTATTTCTAAAGAAAAAATTATCTTCATACGCAAAATAAAATAAGTGACATATAATCGATAGTTTATGTGGAAAATTAACCTTGTAACAAATCTATCTGTAAACCAATATTGAGTTTCATATCACACGAATTGTGAAAGATGAAAAATAAAATAAGAACCTCAAACACAAAAAGCTTTAGGACATATGTTCATGTGAATTTTTCAATAATAATATATTATTTTTTTCGGATACATTTTTTTCTCACTGTGCAAATTTCAAAAAGGTGCAACTTTGTAAAAAATACAATATATTTCTACGAAATTTAAAATCTGTCGATATATTTTCCATTTAATTCTGAAAAAAATGTTTTGCAAATATTTCACAAATGTTTAAAAAAGTAACCTGGGTAGGCACACAATTTTTTTCAACGTTCTTCGCACATTTCAATCCCAATTTATTTTTTTCGCTAAACTTCTTCATTTAGTCTTGAAAGCTATGCCTTAAAGTATCGCTTGGGTCCCATGCTACAATACTAAAATATGGCATAGCCACCACTGCTTCTTTCTAACGTTAAAAGTTGAAGTGCATTAATACAATTACATCTGACATACATATTTATCATTTTGGCAAACAGTAAGGGAATTTATTTCAATTTTTAAATTGACAGCCGCCTGACGGATACTCAAATCAATGTCGAACAACGGATAATGGACGCGGGCGTAATGACATCACAATGGGTGATTTTAATTAAAATTCATTCTATAAATTAATAATTTTATTTTAAAATTAAAATTAAAATAATTAAATATTTTGTGTTTTATATACAGAGTGTCCCAGAGCTTCGTGTCAATAATTTAGGAGCGTTTAGATGGGATAAAAACATTACCAGTACTTTATATACAAAAAATCCTATGACCATCCTTTACTGAGTTACTGGTTGAAAATGATTTTTTAACAATTTTTTAACTACAATTTGAAATTTAACCAAATTCTTGCATAGTAAATGTCTTTAATTCAGCTCCATTACTTTTTTAGAAAGTCCGACCCTCAGAAGTTAATTTTTGGCATTACTGTGAAATAACCCTTACTGATAATAATCGTACACCAAGACTTTTCCATATTTTAACATCTAGAATCAATTCCCGAATTTTCCATTTTCCTACAGAATTTCAGATCACCATGTTTGTATATGCAGGGTGTTTTTAAATGAAGTAGCACAAATGGTATGAGTGAATCTACAAGTAAAGACGATTGAACCAAACATACCTTAGTCCAATGTTGCACCCTGCGGAGTTACAGCCTCTTAAATGTTTAACAATCATACATTTTCATTAATAATATACCCAGAATGCTTTGACTTACAATTTTCATACTTGGCACTTTTCTATTGGTGATACAAACTTCATATTTATATTGTCTAAACCTCTTCATGAGGCGCTGCAATTGACAATGTGCAACATAGACTATGGAAGGACGTGCGCTATCATTTTACACGATAAATTCATATTTTTCTTTTTTTGAAGAATATAGTCGTTTATTGTTGTTTTTGTACCATCCCAGCCAATGATGGTCCACGTCCTTCCATAGTTTGTGGCGAATATTTATAACTGTACAAATACAAACACAAATATGTATTTTTATACATGTCGATTGCAGTGTTCTCCGTGGAGAGATTTAGACAATATTATTGAGGAGAATGTCTCATCAATAGCACAAATATAATTTCAATAGACAAGAGCCTGTGCTAAGTATGAAAATTTTGCGTCAAAGCATTCTAGATTTATTAATGAAAATGTATGTGTCCTCTTAAATATTCAAGAGACTCTAACTTCGCAGAGAAGCAACTTTAGACTAAGGTTGTTTGGTTTAATCGTCATATTTTTACTTCTAGATTAACTGGTACCATTTGTGCTACTTCGTTTAAAAACACCCTGTATATGGATTTTTGAATTATATTTAAATACAATCGTGAACATGTGTATTTTTTTCAAAGTACCATTCGTGGTTTTAAATTTTATCTACAAATTTTTTCTTAACCCATGTTGCCAAATGTTATATTACTAGTATAATTTGGATACTTTATTTTTAAATATTAAATAGTCAGATAGTAGTGTCCAATTTACACTCTTTATATCGTTAGGCAAAAAATTACCGATAAAATTCTAAGCACTTTTAGTATTACATCAATTTATTTTACAATTTACTATGTAAATGGCGACTTTGTGTCTTTGTCATGCTGTAAGTGAAAAATAGTAGACCATTTTGTTTAATCAATATTATACACATAATGTATAAACAAAAATTTATTAATTATATCTACTTATATTATTATACTGAGTATAAATTTATTTAATTCTTCTATAAAGTATTTAAAATAATCTTCCTAAATACCACTCGGGCTAACAATTTTCTTTTGAGAATAGACTATTTCGTTTTTGTGAAAACTTTTTTTTACAATTTCACGGGATAAGAAACGTTCTGCTCAATATTCATATCGTCTTCGCCCAGTTGAATTTTGTTAAATTTATTGTCTCGTAAAACTGACTGAATAATTCTCAATAAAACGAAAAAGTAATGTAAAAAAAATTGTATTTTGTAATGTAGCACTACAAAAACTAATATAGTAACAAAACTACTACTACTATTACTGCTACTCTTTTAAATCATAATATTAAATTTAGTTGATTCATTTCATAGCCTTTAAAATTCTTTTTATTTTCCAAGCGGGTTACTATTGAAAGCTTTGTTTCAGAGATCCTCCGGTATTACGAGCTCACAACAACACAGACATAATCCTCAGATTGCCAATGGGAAAAAGAATTAGGGATATCCGATGGCTCTCTGTCTGGTGTCGGCGGTTCACGGTAAGTTTATATTATACCACTAAATATTAAAGTTTTATTCGTTTTAAAATTATGCAAATTACATTTTTTTTATTCGCTTGGATACACAATGTGTGCACGATATGTCGCATAATTGAGCTTAAATAATAAAAAAAAATACAGATTTCATGTTTTCATTATAAGCATAGTTAGCTTCAATATAATGTTCTACGTGAATATCGTTAAACCAATAATTTGTTAAACTGATCTAATTCTTCCACACATACAGCATCCGTGGGTTTGCAATCAACATAAAGTCAGGTGATATACATAAAGACATGAAATCACATCCAACAAAAAAAAGTAAAATTAAACATACGTCGCCCTGAATCAAAAGTAAAAAAAATGTTCAATGTCAAATGTTGTAAATGTTATAAAAGTGTGTACAAAATATTAATTTACAGTTTTATTAAAACATTTGGGAGAGAGATGTATTGGCTTTATGTAAAAGTCCTATTTATAATTTTTTTCTCGCTTGTCATATCTTTCTTACATGACACGTGAAGCGAAGCAATAGAGCTTACTTCAGTTAGTTTAAAACGACAACTGTAAGACACTAGAAGAACTAGCTGACTGTTGCTGTAAGCTTCAACAAATTCATGCTCTGTTATAACGGCGCCTCCGGCAAAAAAATTGGACAAATTAACTGCAACATCAATAAGTTAAAATG